ACACAGGTGCGGGGGGGGGGCGGCAGTAGCCCTCTTAAGTTTAAAAGCTCCTTTTCTATGAAGGTACAAATCCACTTACAAATTCTTCTCATGTTCACGGAGGTAACGAGAAGCAAGATTTAGCTAACAGCCTCTAATCCAAACAGATCTCTCAATCCCAGCCATTGTTTAGATTGGACGTGTATTAGTAACCCTCGTGGGATAAACTCAGCGTCTCTAGGTCGCCCTGCTAAGGAGTTAGCGCAATCATATTTTCAAGGGTGCCTCCGCTTTCCCCTGCGTACGCTTAAAATATAAAAATCGCCTGAAAAAGGGTAACGACGTCTCCGTGTGTGGATACGCTCCGACCAATGATAAGCAAGCCATTCAGCCGTGATTTATTTATCGGATCCCTTTTAATTATTTATTTATGTACCTGGTGGCTCCCCCCCCGGCCCTCTCAGCGCCTAGTACCTCCAAGAGCCACACAGTGGCAGTACTGAGCACGCTTCTCTCGCCGATAAATAATCCGACATTCACTGCAGCTGTAGTCAAGCAGATACGGCAATGCGATGCACACGCAATTCTTTATCGACTCGGGTTGAGAAAGGGTTGGGAGGGGGTTGAAATCATCCTCAACGGCAGAGATAAATATAAGAACAGGGACATAGCCCAGTCAGAAATATTTTCCTCCTTACAAATGGGTAAGAAACAACCTTGACTTAGCTGAACTACACACAATTGCTTCTACGAAAATACTGCATACAACTCTCGTCACTACATCTTACCTGCTATACCAGTTATTAAGAGAATTTACTGGGTTTTTTTTTTTTCATTAAGCAATGCCCCAAAAGGTTCCTTAAAGCATTTAATCTCCCCCCTCCTCCGCACACACACCCCATGTATATTAATGACAAAATAAAACAAGCGCTCGGGTTCTTAAAACGCTCGCATATGTTCCTGCCTCTCAACTGTGCACATAAGCAGCACCATAACATCGCGTTTAGGTCTGCCTCTAAAGGCATCGCCAGAATTAATCACCGTCTAAAATTCTAAAACACGTGAGGACCCGCCTCCGTCCACCAATCTATGCCCATTCCTTACACACACCTCAAAATAAACGCAACCTCTTAATAGCTTCGACCGCAAATTAAACCCTCGCAAGGACCAAGCCAGCCCGCGTGGGTTAGACACCACCTTCCTGGGTCTTCCAAATCCGCCTTTCTACGAACGCAGCTGTTCATGAGAGGGTTTCTAGAAACCCACCACGCTTTCCAAAGGCAGCCTTTTAATGCAGCCAATGGAACAGTAACAGTGACAGGATGACACTTCGAGCCCGACTCTGATTTGTATGCGCCAAGCAAAGTCCCGGAAGCCCCGGGTTGCATTGGTTCATTCTGACTCTTAGGCAAATCGACCTTCTGCTCGAGACAGAAAGAGACTTAGCCACGCCAGGCTGCCTCTTGTCACTAACCAGGTCTGCTTGCTGACGCTCTCCTCTGCATTTCTCACCTTGTAGGTCCTGGCTGGCAGGAGCCCCTGCTACTTTGACAGCTGTCGCTTTGGCTGCAGCGGAGACGAATTGCCTTCCTTTTGGTGCCAGAAGAAGCAGGAAATTAGCCAGGTTGCGAGTTGAAAATCTGCCACCCCACAGCTTTGAATCCAAGATGCCACACCTTCCGGCAAAAGAACTGGAAAATGCCATTCCAGACCTGCGTTCGAGGCGACTGCCCATACCCAGTCTCCATCCACTCGACTCCCTTTTGACTTACAATGGACAAATGAAAACCCGGGTGGGTGGTTGGGGAGGGGGGGGGTGGGGCTGAAAAGGCAGAGAGATCCGAAGCAGGACAGAGCAGAGCAAAAGAATGCAGCTCTATTCTCGCCAGGGAAATTATAAAAAAGTTCATGTTCACGATTACCACCCACATGACCGTCGACAACCAATGGAGAACCCGAATCACTCGTAAAGTTGTATTGCAAAGTTGTAAATTTTCATAAACAACAACGGATTTATGGCCTTTTCCTCATCACTAAGAAAGAGGCAGGACTTAGAAAGGCGCCATTTTACCAGAGAGACGGTCCTAGATTTTTAAAGGACCCCACCATTTGGACAACCCTCCTCTGCTTTTTGCATGGAAATTATGCTAAATACATTTAGAACCAAACAAAGTATCAGACACTGGCCCACTTTCCACTCATATGAATTTTATCCTCTACCTCCTTCCTTATAATTTCAATCTGAAAGCAGCCTGTCTTGCTTCAGTTTTAAAAAATGGGGGTGGATAATGGAGGCAAAGAACAAAAATAGGAAAATATTTCAGAAATATTTGAAAATACACCATGGAAGACGAGGTCTGTTTCTGTTACTTCTGCCTTCTGCCCCTGTTCAGACCTCTGATCTGAGAATATCCATGTTGGCAATTGTATCCTACCCGAAATGCGGATTTTCGTTCAGGCAGGGAAGCTGCATACAAGCCCCAAATTTGAACTAGGCTTATGTGATGAAGTTTGAGCTAAAACCATAATCCTAGTCTTACTGAAGCCAAACTCATGGAACCAGTTTAGATGCCTAAGTAAAGAAGAACACGATCCATTTATCACCTTTAGTACCAATGGAAGAAACTGCACAGGAAATCCATCAGGACTGTGCCCACAGAACCAAGCTACTTTCTAGCTCCGTATTAGCCTCCCCTCTCGGTGACTTACTCTGCAAGTGAGTAAGGTAACAGGGGTAGTGATGGCACCATCCTTGTTTGCTGAAGATTATTTATTTGCTCAGATCTCTTATATTTCATGATATGAATAATGAACAGTAGGACGTATGCACAGATGCACACACACATTCTTTGCTTGCAAAGAAACACAATGCACTGTCAACAAGCATTTTTATTTGTGTAACATAAAACACAATTAAACTTGGGTGATACACGAAAGCAAACTTCAAAGATAATTCACACATATACACACACGCGCCCTTCCCTGCCCCTTCTAATTTTAACATGAACTACCTCAACGTTCACAGTGAACAGAGCGGAAAAAACACATTTGTAATGTACAAGTTATGAATAAAGATTAGCCAAAACTTTAATGGTAGAATTTGTTTATACAGAAGTTTTTCTTAATGTTATCATGCTATAAAGTTACCCGGTTCAGTATAGATTTTCCCAGTTTATGATGGAGTTCAAGACAGAAGAAATAGCCAACATTTCCAATACACAAGTTGTCTGAAATGTAGGAAAGTTGCAGCCTTTTGTATTGAGCAAGTATAGGATGAGGGAAGAAACTGGTGGAAGAGCAGGTGGTTGTTGCTTAAATTCACTTAAGTTTTTTGTTTGTTTGTTTTAATTGCATCAAGCAGAATTAACGATGGACAAATTTTAAACAAAACACAGACCAGCCTTCAGGAGCGCAATATGAAAGAAAAGGTGAAACAGGTTTTACAATGGTTACAATCAGGGTTTATCTCATAAAATTCGGGCTAGCGAAGACTTGAGAAGAAAGCTTATATTGCAGCATATTTGATTTAATTTAATAACAGCCTTGCAATAAATATATTATGTCTAAAAACTTTAAATTATATTCATCAATACTCCACACCAAATCTTCGATCCATGCGAGGCAGGCCTCCTCGCAGTTTCTGCTTGACAACATCTCCTCTAACCTTCAGGTCCCATCAGCGACTCCCACCAACACTATTCTCGCCCCCTTTTCATTTATACAATACAATTTTGGTGATAGGTAGGCGGAGTTAGAAAATAGGTAGTTTTCAAAATAGGTAGTATGAATCACTGCAGTTGAGTGTAGTGGTTTATTCTTTTTTTTTTTTCTTTTTTTAGGATTTCTTCCCCCACCCCAGCTCCCTGTCCCAGTTATTTAAACAAATAAGCAGAAAGTCCAACCACTTGGAAGTATATAGAACTTTAGTGAAAAATTAGGTAGTCTGAAATTAAGCCTAATGCACTTTTCCCTTTCGGATTTTTGGGGATTTGTGCAGTCAGGTAGTTTATTTGGAAGCTAACTTAGATGGGGCTCTCGCGCGCTCTCTCGCTCTTTCCCCCCTTTTCGTGTGCAAAGAACGGGTCATTGTTGGGTTCATTTTCCTTTCACAAATATCAGTAAAAAAATTAATATTATGTTGTTTATCACTTGTTAACATAAATGACGACAAGCTTGGATGCCCAAAGCCAATCTAGCCCAGATGTTGGACCGAGAATGGGACTTTGCAGTTTAGACTGAGAATAATCCAGGGGATGTCGAGAGGAAATGGAAGGATCTATCCCGCCTGTCCTCTCTCCAGCCCCTCTTACAGTGGAAATGGCCATTTTAAAAAAAGGGTAGTTTTATGTTTATTTTTTTTAACCAAAAAAAAAAAAGCTTCAGGAGAGCGTTTACAGCTGTCACGTGCAAACAGCATCCGAGAAGAGTCTCGGGTGAGCCTTCCCTTCCTCCCGCCACCGGCATTCATTCCGCGTCTTCCTCCTCCTCCTCCTCCTCCTCCTCCACCTTCTCCACCGAGGTAGTGGCGGGTGCCCCCTCGTTGGCCGCGGCGGCGCCTCCAGCGGCGTCTTCTTTATGCTCCTTCTTCCATTTCATGCGACGGTTCTGAAACCAGATTTTGATCTGCCTCTCGGTCAAGCACAGGGCGTGAGCGATCTCTATCCTCCGCCGGCGGGTCAGGTAGCGGTTGAAGTGGAACTCTTTTTCCAGCTCCAGCGTTTGATAACGGGTGTAAGTCTGACGCCCTCTCTTCCGATCTGGACCTACAGGGAGGGAGGGAGAGACAGGGGGGCGGAGACCATCCAAGTTAAGGGAGAAAAGGCAGGAAAAGAAGACAATCCACCTGAATAAAACTCGGAATTTACAAACAAGTCGGCAGATAAATGGAGTCAGCCTCACTCCTGTTTCTCTCCCCCGCCTCCATTTTTGCCAGATTACAATACCCGGCCGGCCCCAAAGGCCATTAACAGCGCAGGGTTAGGCAGGTCTTCTTGAAAGCAAGCCCTAATGAGCCCCTACTTGAAAGTAAACCCCACTGAGTCGATAGTTCTCCACTCAGCTAGAATCTCTGTCACCTCCGAAATAAACTCGGCCCTGTTCCGTGGGACTGTAGCTCTGCTTTTCCGACTGAAGGCACCTTCATTAGAAGTCTGGGCGCTGGATTCTAGGTTTTTAATCCATAATCTCAAAGAAAAATCCGAGCCAGAGGCAAAGTGGTTTAGCGGAACTCTGCCGAATATTGGGTCACATTCTAGGTAGTACCTAGGTTCAAGTCTTGCTCGCAAACTCTATTCAGTGTAAGTTAAAAGAATACCTTCGCCTCCCACCTTGCCCTGGTCTAGAGGACGCGCAGCGAGGTTTAGGCTGCACCAAGAACCCCTGCCTGCCTGCCTGCCTGCCTGCCACAGGATCATCCCTTTCTGACAAAGAAAATTCGAGAACAGAAAGAAATCACACATTTTAGCCCAATCCACGCAGAGGTGGCTTCTCAGTCATTGCGGTCTCCTCCATCTCTGCCCGCCACCCCGTTTCCCACCCGAGATTCCCCTTCTCTGCCGCTGCGGGCGGAGAGAGGCGCCCCGTCGCCAGGCGTGTTCTCCGGACCCCTTCGCCACCCTCGCCTGTTTTCCCTGTGGCGCAGCCCGGCGTTCAGCCCGACGCTCCAGTTCCATCGCGAAGAGGAGTTAGATAAATTTACGAGGCTCGAACTCATTAATTGGGCAATAAAAAGTTTTATGAGGTTCATTTACATACAATGCCACAGGCTTTTGCGCAATGGCGCCTCTGCTCTAATTAAAAGCGGAGAGGCAGGCGCACTTTTGGCGAGGAAGTTTGCATGCGCCGCCTTGGCTCGCCTGCCTGAGGTCGCGTAACGTTCGCCCGCAGGTCGGGCTGTTCTTTTATGTTTCTGAGCAAGGCTTTTGGTCGCCCCCGCCCGCTCCCCCCGCCTTCCCCATACCTGAAGACCTCATCCAGGGGTATATCCGGAAATTACCCTCAGCCTGGCTGTGCAGGTTGCTTTCCTCCGCTTTCTCACAGCTGGATTTGGTTAAGTCATTGCAGAGGACGGGAATGTTCTGATCAAAAGAGGAACAATGCAGGTTGTAGGCATCAGAGCCCAGGCTGTATCCGGAAGAGAACGGGGTTTGATATATGGCACTGTTCACATTGTACAAGGCAGGCATGGAGGAGGTGAATGCGCTAGCGCCTGGTCCATAGCCGCTTCTCTGGGAGTTGGTAGCAAAGGAGCAAGACGTAGGCTCCGCATTTTGGAAGAGAGAAGCAGCCCCCGTCGTATATTTGCTAAAAAGAGCGTTCACATAATACGAAGAACTCATAATTTTGACCGGTGATTTGTTGTCCGGTAGGCTTCGGTGTCGGTTTTACGAGGTAGCGTGATATATGATAACATTACACCCCCAGATTTACACCAAACCCCATTTTCTTTTGGACCGAGCTGCCTCCACCACGTGACCAGTCATATGACCCCATCCGCCAATCTCCTCCTGCATCACAGGTGGTAGAGATCAGGGGAGCGCACAAGGTCCTATAATGGAAGGGGAAGAGCATCACAGCCGTGCCTCGCGAATGACCGAAAGCAGCCGTGCGGCTGTGTTCCCCGGGCGGGCTGCCACATGGCCGGCGGCACGCCGGGGACCCCGGAGGAAGCCGAAGGAGCGCCGAGAAACGGGGCTGGCTCGGGCTGTGACGAGGCAACTGGAGCCCGGCGTTTGGAGAGCTAAGGCCGGCCGTCTTCGCCTTCGCCCACCCTTCTCTTCCGCTGCTGCCAACCGGGCTGGGGTTGACTGGGGGGTCGTGGGGTTCCCTTAAAGATCCCCCACCACCGCGGC